ACATTTAAAGAAAGGGGAGTGAGTTTATCTACTATGGAGGCTGAATTTATCTCCATGACTGAATCAGCAAAAGAATTAGTTTGGTTTAAAAACATTTTGGATGAATGCATTCAGTTTAAGATTGCAAGTAACTATGTTTCGAGGCCAGTATTGTTTGCTGATAATATGGCTGCTATATGTTTTACAAAATTACCCATTGAAAACTCGAGGACAAAACATATAGATGTGAAACTATTTTTCATTCGTGATCTATTGAACAGCGAAATTTTTTATTTAAAATATGTCCCAAGTAAAGATAATCTGGCTGATCCCATGACAAAACCGCTGACTAAGCATAACCTGATAAGATTTTGTGGAACAATTTCCTATGAAATTTGTTTTTGTGTGTATTTAAATTAAGAGTTTTATTTATTTGTTATAAGTCATATTATGATGGATATTAGGTAAATGTAAAATTGTATAGTGTTGTATGAGTGACCAGGCCCCTGGGTAAAAGTATTTGAGTGTGTGATCATATATGTCTTTGTATTGTTCTGTAACATGTTGGACTTTCTTGCTACGGTAAAATTTTTGAATAATGGGATAAGATTTTCCCAAAGAAAAATTTTCTTAAAAATTTCTGAATGAAATCGTGATATTTATTTATTCTTGTTTTGAATTTTGTAAAGATACTGGCATTCGGTTTATTTCAGGTCGGAGATGATGATGTGGGGGGCATTTGTTGGAAAATATAGCTTATTTTTAAACCTTTTACTGCATCATTTCTCCTCCTTGAAATGTTTATTTAGTTTAGTCCTTATTTTAATGTAATATAGTAGTTACTTCTACTTCTTTTTCTTGCTGCCACTGTTTGCATTGAAAACGGACTGTTTCAACCTAATTGAGATGCAAAAACGAAACATGATGTTACGTCATCTGAAAAGCCGATTCGTGCCGATAGCTGCTTGGTTGCCGTGAGATGACGTCATTCCTACTTCTGCTATAAGTATCTCGCATCGCTCTGGCTCAACCCCTTCTAGTTCCTGCTTTCCCGGCACTTGAGTGAGCGGTTTCCAGGACCCTTTAGAAGGATGCATGCAGTCGGTGATTAAAGTGCATTGTTCCGGTTTGCGAGATGATGGTTCCAGAATAAAGTTCTTTGGTTCCGAGGCTACCATGTGAGTGACTGCCGTGGGCGGCATCCATGTTCTTCAATAAAGGCGGCAATTAAAATATGTGAGCGGCGACTTTGTGCAAACGGGGTTAGGCCTGTTTTAAGTGCTTTCAAGAACTTCATTTAATTTTCAGGTGTTTTTTCTGACCATTGATTATGGACTTATTGAATGGGTAGCCAGCTTTTTTAGGCCGCATAATTACTGTTTAGGACATTTTTGTTTGTATAGAATGCCAGTGTTTTGGAGACCAGGTAAAAATATTTGATAAATGATGGTTATATTATATTTTTCCTAAGACTCTAATATTGTTGACATTTATTTTCTGTGTTTTTATTCTTTATTATATTGTTAATAAATTGGTTAAGTTCAAAATCTTTTATTGTCTTCAATGTCTGCACGACATATCTCAGGGAGCTTTTATTGCTACTACTGCTAAATGTTTAATTTCTTTAAACTTTAAACCTTGCTTTAGCATCATTTTGGACTGCGCATATGCGTCTGCGCAAGCGCAGAATACGTTTTTGCGTCTGCGTTTAATGTATAATGGACGGTATAAGCTAAAATTATCTAATTATCTATTTCAGTTAATGTTGATGATTGCGTTGTTCCTTAATCTTTGAATTGGATCCGGCTTATTATTTTTCGCAGACTGTAAGAGCAAATTTATAAAAGTAAGCTTGAACTTTCGATTATGTCAAATAGAATTTCCGATGCTGGAGCTCCCAAAGGATCTAGAAAACGAAAGTATGTTTCGATGTCCATCAAACAAAAAGTGAAGTTGCTGCAAAAAATGGATAAAGGCATATCCTTTGTTTCTATAACCATTCCTGGAATCTGTTTATCAATTTCATGCTGCTCTGCGGCCAGGGGGGGGGGACGTCGTGGCGCGCAATGACCTGGAAGTTGATCTGTCAGCACTATCGTTATCTTCAGGGCAGATGTTTTTATTTTAGTCGGCTTATAATTCCTTACTAAATGTAGTATTTAATCTCGATGTACTCCGTCTTTGATATGATTTAAATCAAATTCTTCGTCATTATAAATATCACGAATACACATCAAATAGTTTTCTGGTTGCAATTTTCTAATTTCGGCTATGCGTAAGGTATGCTTTACGCATGCGCACGTTGAAAGAAATGTTTAATAAAGTAAACAAAAAATATTAAGCTTCTTTTTTTGTAAATTTTGATACCCTTTAGATCATAATTGCTCATTATTTTATATTATTATTTTATTTTAATTACGGTTCAATATTTTTAATTTTATAATTTCTGCATGCCATCTTACCAGATTTAAACTGATGATCTATAATCCGGAAAAATCGATAATCCAGAATCAGCGAAGTCCCGACGAGTCCGTATTAAAGACTTTTGACTGTATATAGAATAACATCTTATGTTTTGTTTTCATATTTATCAATAATATGAAAAACCCAAAATTAAGAAGAATTGGACCTGTCAAGGCTGAAGAGATGAATGAAGCAGAGAATTTCTGGATCAAGAAAACTCAGGAAGAGAATTTTAGAGAAGGAAATTAAAGATGAAACAAAGCATACATAGTTCAAAAATATTTACATTAAATCCATTTGTAGACTCAAATTGAATACTCAGAGCAGGTGGAAAGTTTCAAAATGCTGAGTTAAGCTATAATCAAACATACCCAGCAATATTACCTGAGAAGTCTCATTTAACAGATCATATCATTAAAGATTGTCATGAAACGCAAGGACACGCTGGTGTAGCTGGAACTTTAACTCAAGTTAGAGGAAAATTTTGGATACTAAAGGGTTGAAAGCGTGTAAAGAGTAATATTAACAAGTGTGTGATCTGCTACAGATTTAAAGCTAAGCCACTAAGTCAGGATATCGCTCCTTTACCAACCGAAAGAATAACAGAGGCTAATCCCTTCGAAGTTGGACTTGATTTTGCTGTCCTATGAGTACAAAAGATGAAACTGGAAAAGCTTATATTGCTCTGTATACATGCGCTGTAACCAGAGCAGTGCATCTGTAACTAGTGTCTAGCCAAACAACAAACATTTTTCTTCTGTCCTTTTGAAGATTTATTTCAAGAAGAAGAGTATGTCAAATAATATATTCAGACAATGCAAAAACCTTCAAAAGAACAGATAAGGATTTTCAAAAACTATGGAATACCATCAAGGACACAGAAGTTCAAAATTATTTTGGTAATAAAGGTATTGAGTGGAAATTCAATGTGGAGAAGGCAGCTTGGTGGGGTGGTTTCTGGGAAAGGCTTGTTAGATCTATCAAGTCATGTTTGACAAAAATATTCATGAAGGCTTCACTTAAATTTGAAGTGCTGGAAACAGGTTTAATTGAAATTGAGGCGATATTGAATTCACATCTGCTGACATTAGTGAAGTCGGAAAACCAGAACCGCTGACACCAGCTCATTTTCTAGTTGGATGGAGACTGACATCCTTACCATCTGGCAAAATTCTTGAACCCGATTCAGCTAAAGAAAATTTAACAAGGCAATATAAATACCAGCTAAGGTTATTTAGAAGGGTTTTGGAAAAGATGGAAAAGGGGATACTTACTTGAAATTAGAAACATAAAACAAATTCAGAGAGGTAATGTCGTAACAGATCGTTTGAAGGAATCTGTAGTTCTAGTACATGAAGAAAAATTACCAATATTATTATGGAAGATGGGAGTTGAACAGGAGTGTCACCCAGGACGAGATGGAAAAATAAGGGCTTGCACTATCCGTTTAGCTAATGGAACTCATCTTCGTGTTCCTGTGCAGTTATCGTACCCGTTAGAAATGACTTGAACTCTTTGAACTGAATACAGTGAATTTAAATTGCAAACACTACATCTATGAACGTTTAAACTTGTAGAACATTAAAAACATTTAGTTTTTAAGATAACTTCAAAATCCAATCCTTTGATGAACCAAGAGTTCATCGAGGGGGAGGATGTTACAGTTTATGTAGCTGGTCACCGAGAGGGCCCAGCTTTTTTACTTTTAGCTTGTTATATTTTTCTTATCGCATTACGAATTTTGATACAGATGTAGTGGCAACCGGAGGAACATGATGAACGTTCTAATGTAAGCATACAATTGTTGTACATAGCTGTAAATAAAGCTTCTGTGTGATAAAAAATGAAAAGGAATTCCAAGCATTCCTGGGGATATTCATCAAGAAAGGTAAGCAAAAAATGACTTATCAAATGTTGTTAAATGTAAAAAATAAGAATAATAAAATACAAATAAGGAAAAAGGTCATAAATCGCAACAACAGGTTCTGCAAGTTAGCACTGTTATAAATGGTTAACAATTATGAAACAATCCAGCACATGCCTTGTAAGATTTTCTAAAAAAATTTATAAAAACATTTTCTAAAATAATAAAATTATTACCTTTTGTTATTGGTAGTAATTTTATTTTTTTAGAAAATGTTTTTTAGAATATTCTTATTAAAATTTTAAAAAGAAAGAAGTTTGTTGCTTAGATTAAAAAAGCCCAGATAATCATTTAATCACAAAAGTCTTGTAGTTCTGCTTTCACATTATTGTTTAAGTAAGACAAAGTAAAATGAAAAATAATAATAATACATATTGACAAATACTGAATAAAATAAATTAACATGTAAAACACCAACTATGAATTTTATCCTATAATGCACAAATCGCTGATAAAATAAAAGTTACTGCAATTTACATAAGTCTCATTTATTTTAGATAAATGAAAAAATTGTGGATTCTCCAATTTTCACTTCCATCTTTAACTGCCGCAAACAAATTTTAAGCAGTAGCTGCCTGAAATGATCATCGTAAAAACAAATCTATATCAACTATCAAAATTATTTTAGTAGTACCTGGGCTCTCTTTGCCATATCAGCTTGAGAAACACCCTCAGCTTCTGCTGAATTAGACAAAATCAAACCAACTTTGAGAAGCCTTAAATTCCTTTTATCCGATGGCTTTTTTGTTTCATTTGATTTTTCTCTGAGCTCTTCTTGACTAACAGCAAGTACACAAAGAAGCCTTCTTCCATCTAAAACAATGCCATCCATCTAAAAAAAATTGTTATAGAATTAGCCAAAGCTTACAATAGCAAATGAAATATAGAATATTTTAAGAGCTGATAAGCTCCTAAATATAATTTATTTGCAGAAAATCTATTTTATATTAGCAACTAGTTGCCTTGAAGAGTAATTATAAATATACATATATATTTAACAAATTTTCTCATTCATAAAAGCTAATTTAAATTTTAAATTATGAAAATTTAATTGTATGCAAATAAAAGATTAATTATTGCTGTGAACCAATATGCAATATCATTTAAATTAATAAAGCATATATATATTAAGTGCAAGTATCTAAAACCAAGAAAAAATTTATAATCCAAAAATTTAAAGAATTTCTAAGACTAAATTAATTTGCATAAAGAGAATAATTGTTGAGCAGGCAGGTGACAGATCTTTTCAAGGTGAAGTTGCCTCCAAACCTAACTCTTCAATTACTCAATTCGTGTTTCGTCGTCTATATAGGCATGGGTTAAAGTATTATTCAAAACCAAAAGTAAAAACCAAATTTAGTGATTTGCTTAAATAAGAAATTTTAACTATTACAGAAATTTGAGAAATTTAGTAAGCAAATCGACTAGGAAACAAAATTATTAATTACAAGTACACTGCTAATGTAATTAAGAGTTTAAACCAAAGTAATTTAGGAACCCTTGCCTATTGGAACTTCCCCAACACAAATTATGCTTGTAAACGAAAATAAACTGATAAACTAAATTATAGGCTTGACTTCCATAACACAAAATTTTCCGGGAAATTTAATTTCAAAATTTGCAATTTTGATGTCATTTTCAACTTACACTGAGGTATCAGTTATATAAGTCAGAATAATTCAGGGAAATGAAAATGTGTATAATTTAATAGGCCATAAAAGGAATTCGTCAGAATTTTTCAGTAAAAGCAACATAAATTTTAAATTTGTAATAATAAATGAGTTCTAAATGTTCTTTTTTTCAGAACCACAAATAATTTTAAGTGTTAAAATAATACCAATTAATTATTTTAATACACATATATGTGATGTTTTAATGCACTGCTTGAAAATTACATAGTTAAAACGATGACACTTGAATACAGACGTGGTCGCTTGGAAACATCATTTTATTTCATCATCATAATTCAATACAATAACTTTTATGTACATGGGTTTTAGGTAACGAACAAGAGTTGACAGTTCAGAATAGTAGCAAATAGGTGCTGCAGGGCAGGAGAAGTTAAGAAAAACAATGACATAACTGCTTGTGAAGCAGTATTCATACAGTACAAAGTCCGAAATCCGGACTCGTTGGGACTTCAGAGATTCCGGATTTGGGATCATCAGTTTAAATCTAGTAAGATGGAAAGTAGACATTTTAAAATTAAAAATATGAAATCGTGATTTATTTAATACTTATTTGTTTACCTTATTAAAACATTTCTTTCAATATAAGTTGTTTAAGTTGCTT